AGCTCCATTCTGACCATTTGATCTTGTCCTGTTAACAGAGACTGATGCATATTAAAGTCTTCAGCAAGGTCTTCCCAGCAGCTGTCAGTTACTTCTAGAACCCTGACCATCTGGTGAGTCCCATGTGCACAGAACAAGATCAGTCATTTTCTTTAAGAAGAGAGAGAAATTTTCAGTTTGTGGGTATCACCTGGTGTCAGACTGTGTTTCTGCTGCATGTCAGTGAAGGCAGGGTTGAGAAATGTTTGAGGATTCTGTTGAATTCTAGAAATGAGATGGGGAAATATTAAGAATCCTCATTTTATATTTTACTTTTTTTGAGACTGGATCTCAGTATATAGCCTTACTATCCTGACACTCTCTGTGTAGAACATGCATTCTCAATCTCACAGAGATTGATCTCCTTTCTCTGCCTCCTGAGTGCTGTGATTACGGATGTGGACTGCCATGCCTGGCTTCAAGTACTGTACGTATAGCATCAATGGTAAATTCCTCAAACATTTGGGGGAAAAGAGACAAGTCTTGTGCTTCTTTCACCCTAACAGCTTCAGGGATTGAAGTGAAGTTTCTTTCATCCAGGATGGACTACAAACAGCAGCAAAGTCCAAATCTAACCTTCAGAATAGAAGTCTATGTCCACCAGTGAACAGATACCTGGAGGTGAGAACTGCTGTCATGAATTCTTCTGGGGACCCCAGTCAGTGGTCTGGAGGAGGGATGCCCTAGCTGACACATCCTTGGAAACAAGGCACAGAGCATGCAAAGGCTACTCTCTAAACCTGTTTTTATAGGATCCCTACTGCAGTCCAGGCACAACCCCATGACTTCAACCTGACCAACCAGGAGCATCCAGATTGGCTACCTGGTCTAATTGATTGAGTTCTTTCCATTTGAGCTTTGAGATCACAGCTAAGGACTCAAGGTGGGTCACTGAGACAGCTGGTGCCTGTCTTGGGATGTTGGAGGCAGGACTTTCACTTTAAGGACACCAGTGGCAGAGGAAGTACATGAAGCCACAGATTCTACATAGGAGCTTCCAGTTCTACTCACCTGACACCCAGATTCTGTCTGCTTGCCTGCTGACTTCCATGGCTACTCTTGCTCATGGGTCCCACAGTGCTTTTGTTATTTGTCAAAACCACTTTGGGTTGGTTTTGGGCCACTGAACTTTGTTCATACTCCCTGGTTAATGGAGAGCCCAGGGCTAAAGGTTTCTGAAATCTGAACCAACTGGGACTCTATGCAGCCCACTCTAGACAGTGCATGATGA